GTGAAATTTTACTCAAGGACCGTTTATGCAATTTTAAATAAATCTATTAAATTTTATATTAATTACCATAAATCAAATAAAAAGGAAAAAAATAGAACATAGAAAATGTAATATTTATATAATAAAAAATTAAAACTTATAAAATTTAATATATACAAATGATTTTTTTTGTCTAGACTTTATCTAAAATATTCAAACTACAATACATTATTAAATATTTTAGTTTTCTATTTTTTAACTAAAAAAATTTTGAAGCATAAAAACTTCATTTTATTACTTTTTAATTTTTAGATGATGTAATTTTTAAGATTTATCTTCATTTATCTTATATATATATATATATATATATATATTATATATATATATATATATATATATATATAATGAAAAAAATATGATATGTTATTTATTATACAAATATATTTGGTTTTTTTATAGAAATAATAGTGTGCTGCTATTTTATTTTAAAAATATAAGTATGTCGGTTTGAATTAAAGATAAAAATATGTTTATGCTTTTGTTTAATAATATAAGTATGGTAAATTTATATTGGTTCAATATAAACTTTTGATATTTAATTCTAGGGTTTAGGTTAAATTTGGTCCCTTAACTTTTGGTTTTGTATTCATTTGGTCACTTAACTCCTTTTAAGTTCTAAAATGTCACTTAACTTCTTTTAAGTTCTAAAATGTCACTTAACTTTTAAAATTTTGCTAAAATGGTCACTATGAACGGCAATAAGAGGTTACCATATTTCTTTTAGCTATCTAAGGTCATCAAACTTTTTTTTGGCTAGTTTAGGTCATTAAACTTTTTTAAGCTATAATTAATCACTAAACTTTTGAAATTGTGTTCATTCAATTTTATATTTTTTTTCTGCAATTTATTTTTATAACTTTTATTTTTTACTTTCATTTTTACATGTTATATTTCATAATTTGTTTTTATATCTTCAATTTTATTGCATTTTTGTATTTTTTTCACAATCTATTTTTACAACTTAACTTTTTTTTTTTACTTTACTTACATGTTTTTTTCAATATTCATTTTTGCAACTTTTTTTTTAATATTATTCATAATATGTTTTTAGAGCTCCATATATTCGTTTTGCCAATTAAGTGTCGATACCGAACTATATAATTATTAACCCAAGTGATAATTCTAAAATTATTTGTTTCTCGTGCATCCGATAACATTACATAATTAGCAACTTTCTTATATAAAAGTTTGTCTATTACAATAATAACAACACCCCACATATGTTTCTCAAACAAAAAAATCATCATTCTTTTTTTTGTTTTTGTTGTTGGTTTTTCTCAAGTATTAAATTATCTATTTTGTTTGATTATAGGCATTGTGGATCCAAAATATGATTTTCTTTGGTCAATTAGTATCCAGCTTGATAACAACAACTATGGATACTGAAGTTATATAATTATAATTTTTTTTATGTGAGAAACATATATAGGGTATTGCTACCAATGTAATAGGTGAACCGTCAAATGAAAAAGTTGTTAATTATACAACATTATTGGATGTGTGACAAAATGATAATTTTAGGATTTCCACTCGGGTTAGTAATTTTGTAGTTCAGTTAATTTACATCTAATTGGTAAAGAAAATATACAAAGTTCTAAAAACATTTTATCGAAAAACATATAAAATGAAGTTGTAAAATGGATTTTGGCAAAAACATGAAAACGAAGTAAAAAGGTTAAGTTGTGAAAATAAATTGTGAAAAAAATGAAAAACGTACTAAAAATAAAGTTATAAAAACAAATTATGAAAAAAAAAAATATAAAAATGAAAGTAAAAAATGAAGTTATAAAAACGAATCGTGAAAAACATGTAAAAACGAAACAAAAATGAAGTTATAAAAATGAATTGCGGGAAAAAATATAAAACTGAATGAGCACAATTTCAAAAGTTTAGTGACTAATTATAGCTTAAAAAAAGTTTAGTGACCTAAAATAGCCAAAAAAACGTTCGATGATCTTACATAGACAAAAGAAATATGGTAACCTATTATTGTCGGTCATAGTGACAATTTTAGCAAATATTTAGAAGTTAAGTGACCTTTTAGAACTTACAAAAAATTAAGTGACCAAATGAGCATAAAACCAAAAGTTAAATGACCAAATTTGACCTAAACCCCTAATTCTAAAAATTGTTTAGTTTTATCAAAAAAAAAAATTAAGCATTATGAAAAAGATTTATTTATTTATTTTATTTTTTAGTAAACTTATATTCTTAATAAAGAAGAATACATAGACGTAGCGGGTAAACGAGCAACAAGCTGTACGGCAACCCCCTTTTGGATGACAAAACTAATTCTTTTAAAAACAATATCTATAGATTTTAGAGTCATAACATTACTATGCATGACCTGTTGAACTCTATTGAGTAGCTCCACAACTTCTGGCGCAAGGAAACCGAAAGTATCAAATGCAAGGGGTATAAATGTGTGTTGATTTTCCATGCACACTTTCTCATGTTTTGCCACTTTGCTGGATGCAACTTTTAAAGCAGCTTGCCCCACAGTTAAAATCCCACTCCCCAAGCCCACAAGAGGGGGAACCCCTGTTAGATCCACGCATGAATGTTTTCCTCCAGCCAATCCAAATACTAAAACATCAGCTGACCTAAGTGTTGATCTTCCTTCCAATGGGTCAGTCAGAAAATTTACATGTGCTTCTTTCTTGGTAGAAACCCCAACGCACCTACATATGTCGAAAAGAACATCCCTAACTAGATCGTGTCGGTACTTGAAACCCGAGAGCTCTTTACAATGAACTGCATGCTCCCCAAAGGAGTCCAAACAAGCCTCGCGACAAACAGGGCAAGTCTCGTCAACCGGAAATAAAGGGATCATAAGGTGATACTTTAGGATGACACGATACTCCACTGGCGACATATGCTGGCCAATACCGTCAATATGAATAGTCATAAGAAAACCCTGAGCATGTGGGTCCCTTAGAAACTCAAAAAATGCTTTCTGCCTAATCGTCATGTCGAATTGAACTTCCATGTCTTGGACAATTTTAGCTAATAATTAACTATGCTGCTACACATGCTAAAATAATTAAACATATGAATAATATGGCATTAATTTCGTTTAACTTCATTTTATTTAATGGAAAATAAAAATATTTTATATGTTTAAAAGGTTTGTGTTTCAGAAATAACAGTGTACCGTGTTTTATATAAAAATAAATTTATTTGTTCATTTATATAAAAATAAAAACCTTTTAAATATATTAAATATTTTTACTTTCCATTAAATAAAATAAATTAAACGAAATTAATGTCATATTATTCATATGATTAGTTATCTTAGCATGTATAGTAGCTTAGTTAATTATTAGCTAATAGACGTTTTTCAATTTTGCTTTGACATGTTTACGTTTTATTAAGGAATATATTCAAAATTTGACCACACTAAATAATTTTAAATATCAAAATTTATATCAAACCAATTATAAAAATTACTGTATTTATATTATGAAACCAAAACCGAAACATATGTTTATCTCTAACACAAAACCGCATAATTATATTTTTTAAAATAAAATAGCGGCATACTATTATCTCTATAATAACATATGTTTTTATAAAAACACGCCATATTATTCATAAAAATAAATATATTTGTATAAGATAAATGAAGATATAATTTAAAAATTACATCATGTAAAAAATTAAAAGTAATAAAATGATATTTTTATGTTTCAAATTTTTTTATGTAAAAAATAGAAATCGAAAATATTTAATGATGTATTGTAGCTTGAATATTTTAGATAAAGTCTAGACAAAAAAAATTATTTACATATTAAATAAAATATATTTGCATGATGATTAAAATGTATACGTTTTAATTTTTTATATATATAAATATTATATTTTCTATGTTTTATTTTTTTGTTTTTTATTTGATTAATGGTAATTAATACAATATTTAATAGATTTATTTAAAATTTCATAAACGATCATTGTGTAAAATTTTACAAATGGTCCTTAGATAAGTTTCACAAAATGACGTAAATGGTCCTTATCCAAAAATTTCTACTTAATGGATCCATATAACTGACATCCATAGTAAGGACCATTTATATGCAATGTTTGCTTTGTAGGAACCGTCCATGCAAAAAAGGTTTCATAGGGACTACTTTAAGGACAAATGAAAAAACTTAAGGACCATATGTGAAATCTTATCTACTAAATATTAATATATATATGTTTTTGGAAAACCTTATTGAAATTTGACTAATGGGTTGTTTGATATGCTTCTTCTTGGGTATGGTATACGGTTGAGTATGATTCAGACTGCTTGATATTACAATCAAAAGCTTCTGATTCGGTCTTATAGCCAATGATATGTCTATTACCGGGTGAGATAAGATGATGGACATGACTCAATCATGCCCTGACTCAATCAGAACAATTATCAAATAACCCCAAAATCGTGAATTTCTTTCCAAGATAGACGGGAAAAATATTCCTCGATAAAAACTAAAAATTAACAAAATGAAGCAATCAAATATTTAGAAAGTTCTAATTTTTTTTTCATCAACCATATATAAAAGTTCTCTTTACTCCAATGAAATAAAATATCAGATTTCTGCTATAAATTAATCTTTAAAACACTATGAGTTATATCACACCTACTACCAACTATCATATAGTGTACCCAAGGAGGACTTTACCTTATACAATGAAAGCAAAGGATGCTTTTCGGTTGAAAAAACTTGATTGATTTTTCTTATATGCATTTCCACTCCACTGCTTTTCTATGCAATTTAATAATGGTAATTAAAACCATCATTCAATGCTTTTTGCTTTTCAAACCAAATAGACTTTCAACCATTCTCACTATAAAAAAAGGTTTGCATTGGTAACTCCAACAAATTAATGAGCACTAAATTTAGTTTGTTGGATCCTTTCTCCTATATAACCACTTAACTTCAACCAAATATCAAAGGGTTGACATTGACCATAAGATCATGAAGAGGGGTTCTACTTTGAGCAACAAGAGTTGCACATTCTTGGGTGCATTGGTCGTGTTGATGTTGATAATACAACAAGGGAGTGCAGGCTTGTACTCGTGTTGGGGAGGGTGTCTCAACGAATGTTTTCTTTTTAGTAGCAAAAGAATAGGCGAAAGTTTTCCATGTTATGTTAATTGTTTCTTGGGCAAGTGCCTATCTCAACCACCAGGCCAGACTAGTCTCGGAACACCTCCCCGTTTGGTTAATCACCCATCACCATTGCATGCACCTTCACCCTCTGATTCAGAAGCATATCAAGATTATTTCATCGATAAAGCATATGAAATCCATCGCTATCATCTACACAATTGCATAAAAGATTGCTCTCTGCAAACTTATTGGTTTGCCACTAATGGTATGTTCTCAAATCTTTATAAATTAATAGAATAGAAATATAATAATGACATACACATGACGGTTTATAATGATATACACATAAAGAAATTAAAAATTCTTACTTGGGGTGTGTTTAAGTTAGCTTTATTTATTTATTTATTTATTTATTTATCATAAAAGTGATTTCTAAGAAAAATGCTTATTAGCTTATGACTTTTAGGAAAAACGGATTTTAAAAAGTGTTTGGATAAGAAAAACTGCTTTTAGGAGTAAAATTGCTAAAATTGCTAAAAAGCTAGGATTTTCCAGCTTTTTGAAAGTTTATTTTTTCCTATCCAAAAAACTGTTTTAAAAAGTGTTTTTTAAATACACAAACATTTTTTTTTACTTTATTAGTTTTTTGAAAAGCTAAAAAACTAATAAACTATTTTCAAAAGCTATCCCAAATACCCATTTATTCTTCCTACCATCATTCTATCATTTTTAGAGAATGACAAATGTATAACATATGACAAGTGTCACAACCTTAAATCTATAGAAAGATGATAGGATAAAAAAAATGATATTTGATTTCTTATTTACGTAATACTCTATAAAACGAAATACACTTTTTGTTTATTTATTTATTTAGAATATTACTTAAATCATACGCAAATAGTTGAGTTTTTCATGATATAATGTTCCATGCCAAATCAATGCCAAATTAACAACCCAAAAAGTTAAAAAAACATATCTTCATAATAATATAATTTTAGTCATAATATACAAGACCCATCAATCTTGATTTAAATCGTATTATCCTTTTCAGTTGGTTAATTTAAAAATAATTACATTAAACTGATTAAATACTATATTTTTGTTATAAAGAATCAAAATTGAGATAAATTAAATATTCAATATGTAAACTTCTCAACAGAAAAGGACAAATAGAAATGAAATCATATTATTACTTTTAAGTGAGTTTTCATATTCTTATGTTTAGATTTATACATTTAAACTAAAAGTTTATATTTTAGTATGTTTTTAAAATCTATTAACTTATTAACAAATTAAAATAAATACAAATTAAAAATGAAAAAAAGGAAAAAACGAAAGAATTATTAAAATGGTTCTTCTAACAGCTTGGAAATTTAAAAGTTATATTGAAATGATTTTGTTTCAAAAAGATCTTAAATACATAGAAAACATTTTTATTGTTTTTTATAAAGATAGATTATATTTTTGTGTGTTTTTGATTCATCCAACTAAAAACAATGTGTTTGAATATCATTATTTTCTATCTTGAATTAAAATAATAATTGTAAAAATCAAAACAATTTTATTTATTTATTTATTTTATTTAGATAAATGAATAAAAAGCATAAACGAAAATATAATCCCCTTTCCAAAATAACAATACTTTACAAAGATTATAATATATTATGGACGCATTTAAAGAAATTTAGAGGATGCACCTTTTTTTTTATAGCTTTTTACTATTTGCTTGACCACTTAATATCATTTAATACCATTAGATATGATAGCATTTTTTTTTGTTTTTTATTGACCACTCAATATATAAAGTTTTGTCCAATCTAACCCTTTCTCTTTAATAATATATCATTTTACCTTTATAATTTTATTTTAGTTTAAGAAATATTTATTTTTTTAATAAATATTTTTATATTAGTTGTTACAAATGTTTATATATTATAAACTAAAATGTTTATACATATATATTATAAACTATAGTAAAATTTAATACAAACCCTATTTTAATAAATATAGGGTGTTTAAAAGCAATTAATTAAATGAATACATTTTATTAAATATTTTAGATATATGAAGATCAATTAGTTAAACGTTTAAAAAAAGCTATTATAGATATTAAAGATTGAAGATATAATTTAATTAGAGCTTAAAATTAATATAAGGATGAATTGGCAACAATTAAAAATGCTATACCTAATGAAAATCTAATGTACATTCAAAATAGGTACTTTACATTAATTATATGCTATCATCGTGATACTAATTTTTATGGGATGTCATTTATACATCCATGTATAATAACTTTGTAGATTATATAATATAAATAAAATATATATTTTATATTTATGAGTTATTTTTTTAAATAAATAATCGTATTTCCAATTTCATACATGTTTATTTTTATATTTAATACTTTTTAAACCGCATTAAATGAACTTGGTAGGTTAAAATTACTACGTTTCACAATTCCAGCCGCAATAAACGTTTAGATAAATTATACGAATTATTCCTGTGGTTTGCGGTATCCTATATGTGTAGTTTCTAAGTCCTAACTACCTTTTGTAATTCACACCATCATTATAGTTAGTGTTTATTTCATATTTGGTCTTGAAACGACTTAAAATGACCAACATGTGTTTATAGATTTTTTTTATATTTATATAAATTAAATATGAAAACAAAGAATAAAAAAAAATCCTAAACCTAACCACTTCTCTCTCCCCATGCTCATACGTTCGTACTCTTAAACCTTCATCTTTGACCATTTCATCACCTCCTCTTACCTTCCAGCCATATCATTTAACTTTGACGACTACCACTATTGATGCCTCCCCCCCTTCTTACAACTCTATCGCCGCCTTCTTTTGACAGTGTGTCACCACGCCACCACTCTCATCCCTGGAGAAAGAAAACGAGAAAAATAAGATTTATTTGGGGTTCAGAACAACATCCTACCAGATTTTCATCTCCTCTATCCCCACCACCGACTTGAATCTCCTCCGGCCTCTGTCTTACTGACCACATTCTACGATGAATCAACACCCTACCCGATTTGCTTCGAATAAAACACAAGTTTGTTTTTCTCTGAAAGGAACATGCAACATCCACCTAAGACTGACATACAAACTGCATGTGGTTTTGTATTTTTCTTATGAGTTTGGGTATAGTGGGTGGAGCAAATATAGTTAAATTAAAAATCAGTTAGATGTTTACAGGTTTTTAAAAATTTGCAAATCTAGGTTGTATATATGGGAATTAAAATTTTAAAAGGAACTATTATACATACCTCCTTTTTAATTATCATTACCCATTAATCATTAATGTTTGATAAATAATAAAAATCTTATATTGTTTTTCGCACAAAAGTACTTCTCTCTCAATCATTATTTTTTCTTAATTTGATTATACCTTTCAATCATTACATTATATATATATATATATATATATATATATATATATATATATATATATATATATATATTAAGTTAATTATTTTAATGTTTTATTTAAATCTATTGGCTTGTTGTACTATGTTATTTAACTTTAATTATTATTATATTATCTTTATATTTTGGATTTTTATTTTAATTTTTTAAATTTTACGTTCCAGCAAAAATAAAAAATAAAAAACGTTTTCTCTTACATATAATTCAAATCCATTATTTAATAATGTTTTCTTTTACATTGTTTTTTATTTTGTCAAGATATTTGTGGGTTTGGAGAGGTGGTTGTTTGTATAGAAATATTTGTGTATCTTTTATAAAAATAGTTTAATAACTTATCTATAAATTAACTAAATAAAATATAAAACATGTTTTTCTTTTAATTATTTCCTTATTATTCTAATTAAAAAAAATCTCACCCAACCACCCCTCTTATCTCTTCCCCTATATCTTTATCTGTAAAACCAACTCACTCTTCAACCACAAGCGTCTGTCACCCTTCTGTCGCCACCAATGTCCAACACTATCATTCCTTACCCTACGTTCAAAACTTAGACCATCCGTGCCCTCACTGACGACCATCTAATTTGCTTTCACTTTTCATCTCTGTCAGCCACAAATCGTCCCCCACAAGATCCATAAATTGAAAACGGTTCCAGAAATCAATTTCCCCATCGAAATTAGAGGTGAAAAACCCTAACACAAACCGTAACTTTGTTTGGGCACAAATATGACGACTGTGCCAATAAAAGAAAAAGAAAGAGAGGCAAAGAAAACCCAAGCGTCGCCCTTCGTTTCCATTTTGATTATAATGGTTGTTGCCTTCTCGGTCTAGATTTGTAACTCGATCCGGTGGTGGTGGTTTCGACAGTTATGACAAACTAGATATGTGACAAAGGTGGTGGTGGCGGCGAACCAGATGAACTCCATCGAGCATGTTTTTCCGGTGAGAATGGTGGCCGCCAACGATGGTTCCCGCCGCCAATGGTGGAGGGTGGAGCCAGTGATGAATGGGCTTTTCTCCTCTTCATTGTTATGATAAAGATGGGAGAGGGGTTGGGCTATTTATTTATTATTTATTTTTTATGTTTAAAAGGTAAATTAAACTATTTAAAGTATTACAACAATAAAAAATGGAAAAAATAAATTATAAGAACATAAAAGTAATTTTAAATGTGTATGAACCCAAATAGTATTACTAATACACCACCAAAATTTTTGAGATCAAAACCACATATTTTTTACCCCACAATAACTATATTTTCAATTTTATCTATTTTTAAGTCTCCTTTTGACTTAAAAGAGTAACCTGAGTTTTGGGTTTTGGACCGCATTAGACTTTAACAATGTTGTTTACGGTTTCGGTCCGATCATGTTTCGAGTTACAAAATAGGTTTCGTATATTTGTTGTTTACGGCAAAACACGTGAACCCTTTCAACTTTTCTATTGAACCATACTTATTGTATTTCGTATGCATGTCTAGGATCATGTGACAAAGATGTACTTTTTGTCGAACATATTTTTAGATGTTGGTCAACATCTATAACTTCCCGTAAAACAGGTTGTACCAATGGTTTTGATGAAGCCAACAACATCTCCGTTTTTGTTTTGAACTTTTCATGGAACATTACAACCTTTTCTATCATTGCGATCGTTACGCAGCGGGACTCTACTTATATCACATGTAAATGAGGTGTCTACAAAAAAGACAAACCTTATTAAAAAACTGCATTTAATTGCTTTTATTTATTAAGAACAACAAAAAAAACAACTCCTTTTATAAAAAAAACTGTACTATTTATTGAAAAAACTACACAATTTATTAAAAAACTACATTAATCAGCTTTTATTTATAAAAAACAACAAAAAACAATTTTTTTTAAAAAAACTACACTATTTATTAAAAAACACTGCATTTAACAACTTTTATTTGTTAAAAAAAGCAACAAACAAGTCATATTATAAAATAAATTGCACTGTTTATTAAAAAAATATTTTTTTTAACAAAAAACAACATTTTTAATAAAAAAATACACATTTTTTTATAAAAAAACAACACTTTAAAAAAATAACCTTTGGTTTTCAGGACCGGTCCGGGTTAAATCCCTTATTTCGAGTTCGGTCCGGTCAAAACCCACAACCCGAATATTGATAAAAACAAAACCTGAAAACCAGCCACTAATATGAAAATCCGGTTCGGTCCGGGTCTAGTCCCGATTTTTTCCCGTCCAACGGGTCATATTCTTATTGCTAACAAAAATGCTAGATTTTTTTTTCAAGAATTAGTTTTTCATTTATAAATTTTTTTTAAAAAAATACATTGATTAAAATGTAAAAAATAACCGAAAAACATGAAAAAACACTAACATAAAATCCCAAACATAGAAAAAAACTAATCCCTATTCCAATATCTCACTATAACGGTTTCTTTCATCGCTAAAAACATCTTCAAACCTTCATTACCATAGTCGTCGGGTTTCATTTTCAAAACCTCCAAAATATGAATTTTATCCCAAATTCACTTCTAGAATTCATTAACATAAGTTAATGTAGAAAGTAAAATCATCTGTGATAAAAGCTTTTTTTATGATGTTTTTTATTAAAAAACTTTAAATGCAAAAAATCATTTTATCTTCATTTATGATATGCAGTTTTTAAGACCAAAACATTTTAAAAGCTCAAAACAAAAATGTGTTAATTAATTAAGTTTTTTAAAAAAGCTCATTCATTAATATTTTTTATTTTCAAAAGTTTTTTGGAATAATTTTTTTTAAAAGAAAAACCTAAACATCTTCTGTTGTGGATTTTTGATAATTGAAGAGCTATTTGTTGGAGTTTTTTAATGAACAAACTTAAAAAAAATCATTTTATTATTATTAGAGCTTTTACAGTTTGCTTATTTATAAAACCCTTATAGAAATTATTTATTTATAATTAGCTAAAAACTTATAAAACTTATAAAACTCATTAAATCTTTGAAAAGTAAATAGCAAGTTTTAAACTTATAACACTCATCAGATCTTTGAAAAGTAAATAGCAAGTTTCTTAAAAGAAACTTAGATTTAAAATTTCTTCTAATATTCTTCTTTTAATTTTCATTATTTTTGAATTGAAAAAACTATTTAGACAAAACTTCTTGTTTTTAGTATAGTTTGTTATTTTCTAAAAACAAATCAAATATCTTCTTATCTTTTCTTTCTATTTATCCTACTACTCATTAGATCAAGACATACAAATGCCAAAATTAAAAGAAGAGATTAAGAAAAACAGTTATTGGTATCTCCGTGTCAAAATCATATATGACTAGATAATAAATAAGAAAGACAAAGAATAGAAGGTTATTATTATTATTTTTTTGAAATATCAAATTTTATGATTTAACTTTTGATTTTAATTTTCCAGGTGAGAAGGACATAAAAGGTTGCCTAACAAGATGTATAAACAAATGTACCGATTTGAACATTTGAACATTTGAACAAAAATATATAAATAAATTAGATATATTAGTCAAGAATGTGTAATGGATATTCATTATACAAGATAACAAGAAAGATACTTGATATAAAATGTCATTGTATATTTATTTTAATAAATAGTTTGCTTTTATATATATATATATATATATATATATATATATATATATATATATATATATATATATATATGTGGACGGTTCACTATTAAAAAAAAAGTAGAGATCTTGAGATTTAACCTCAACCACATATTTCTCATTTGCCGCTCTAACGCTCCAGCGTACCGACAACAGTGGGGTATGCCTAATCATAAATGATTATATGGCAGAGATGTATAATCATATATTATTATACATGTTTATATGAATATGTATAATCATAAATGATTATATATATATATATATATATATATATATATATATATATATATGTCTGTTCACAAATTGAGTAATCATATATGATTACTACAGTTGGTGTCTAAGAGGTGGTGGTGACAAAGGTGGCGGTGGTATAAGTGACGGAGGTGACAGTGGTGAGGTCGGCTGGTGTCAGAGGTGGTGGTAGTGGTGGTGGCGGTTGTGGTGGTGGGGATGGTGGTGGAGGAGAAAGGAACGGACGACGTTATATAATCATTTATGATTATAACAGGTCTGCCATGCCGTTATGTCAGAAGGTTAGAGCGTCAGATGTGAAATATGTGGCTGAGAGTGAATCTCAAGATCTCTATTTTATTTTTAATCTCAACGGAACCTACCTCTCTCTCTCTCTCTGTATATATATATATATATATATATATATATATATATAATATATATATTATATATATATATATATATATATATATATATATATATATATATATATATAGAGAGAGAGAGAGAGAGAGAGAGAGAGAGTGGTTCGGGTGAGCACTCAAAATTTAGTGAGTACTGCGAGGACAAATCTTTTTCGTAGGATTGAAAAAATAAATGTAACGTCCCAAAAATACCGATAAAAATTTTCATTTTTAAACTATCAATTTCATACAACCATTTGTTCCAAAACCAATCATAATCAACTGTATTTTCCAAACATTAGAGTAAGACAAATATAATCAGTGCGGAAGACCCATCAGGGGATACTGTGCAGTCAAGCCGGACCCTTCCCTTTGGAACTGAAAGTACTCGAAAAATGTTAAACCACAAATCGTAAGCACAAAGCTTAATGAGTTCCCCAAAATACCACATAGCATACACATGGGCCCAACCCAACATACAAATGGGCCCAACCGAACATGTAAATAGGCCCAACCCAACATACATACAAATGGGCACAGTCCTACAAGAAAATGAGCCCAACCCAGCATACATGTAAATTGGCCCAGCCCCACATACACATGCAAGAGTCACAAAGACAGATAACATCCTACATAATATAGTGAGAAGAATCACTTGTCTCACGAAGTCCACTACTAACAACTCTCACACAGTCGAGGAACAGGTGCTAAACACCACCTAATCAACCATACAAGATGAAACCTTAGCTCACCTACCAGACTAGCAATTTGACCAAAAGTCAACCCATGTCAAAGTCAACACTCAAAGTCAATGGTCAACTTCCAAGTCAAAGTCAAAACTTACATCAGCAAGCCTCCACGTCGTGGTCTCCATTTGGGCACTTCGTGGTCGCAAAATGACAAAACAGTTGGCTGACCCCCAGTCGCCACATTCTAATAAGGCAAGCTCTCTAAACCTAGGTTCTTAAGGATATCAAAAGGCATGTGTAACATCCCAAAATTTAAGAGCAAAAATTTCATTTTTAATGTAATAATTCATAAAACAGATTATTGAAAACATCATCAAGTTATCTCATATCATAAAAACCCATAAGTCATATATCCCAAAAACATGTCATAAGGTAATAATGTCAGAGTACAAATCCCAAGAATCTCATATGCGGAAAATCATGTGTGTGATGCCCTGCAGTCATGCTGGCTCCTTTCCTTTCGAAGAAGAGGTACCTGAAACCAAAACTGTAAACCGTAAGCACGAAGCTTAGCGAGTTCCCCCATCATACCACGTACCAAACAATAACATAGTGACATGCATATCTGGGTGCTCGACCTGCCCCTTCGATCTCTTTCAACCGGTAACTGCCTAGTATATCTGGGAGCTAGCCTACCCCTTCGGTCTCTTTCAACCAGATACTGCCTAGCATATCTAGGTGTTGGCCTACCCCTTCGGTCTCTTTCAACTGGATACGAGGACTATTTCACCCATACTACTACCACATAATACCTTATATATATACCTATATCATATACTGCCTAGCATATCTGGGTGCTGACCTACCCCTTCGGTCTATTTCAACCGGATATCCGGGGACTATTTCACCCCTACCACTACCGCATAATCACATAGCATACTAGCACATAAAGCATAAAAGATAGTAGCATACCACACAATTATTGCAAAGACAATCATCTCAACAATAATCACCTACTAGTGGGCCGACATTGGTGCCTTAGACCTACTTCTAGTGGAAGGTAACTCACCTCAAATGTCGTGAAGTAGGTGAACTGTCCTCGGATCTACAATCAACTCCTCTCTAAATCATACACATAAAAATCTCCTTTAATTACCCTTTCATACTCATAACCCCTTAAGGGTCAACTCTGGTCAAAGTCCAAGTCAGAGTCAACCTTCTGGTCAAAGTCAACGTTCTGGTCAAAGTCAACCTTCTGGGTTGACTCAACGCGCCGAGTCCCATAAATCATAAACCCAGAAATCGCGTCCCAACTCGTCAAGTTCTTGCACGAAATCGTCGAGTTTCTCCTATCAACATAATCGGGACCTTTCACTACGACTCGTCGAGTCGTTCCTTGAACTCGTCGAGTTCTTTAATCTTCAAAGCTCGAAAAACCTTAACCAAGTCGCTGAGTCATCTCCTAGACTCACCGAGTTTGCTCAAGAATCATAAAAGGTTGGGGATCACGATCCAACTCGCCGAGTTGCATGAACAACTCGTCGAGTTCCCTTAGTATACACCCATTCAGTCGTTTCCAATCGAGTTCAATGCTTCCAAACCATAGATCTGGTCCCCTAGCACTAAGTTACCACGTAAAGTTGCTAAATTTACGTCTATGCATGGTGTCATGAAGCTAGAAACACCAAAACTAAGCTATATAAGAGATATAGGGCATGGAGAAGGGCCAAGGCTTGATAAAGCCGACAACTTTAAGCCTCATAAGCTCATGAGTGCGTAGATCTGAAGTCACAACTTCATGATATACTTAAATCCCGAAAATGACTTCAAGATGGCCCAAAAGTGACAACATACTACCCTAAATGAAGATCTAAGTAGTAGAAAGAGAAGGTATCAACTTTATAGCTCAAATGAGTCAGAAATGTAGCTCAAACGCTGGATGTACTAGCTTCCTATTCAATCCTCAAGCTTCTCATTCCTTCACAAGCTTCAAAATCACAAAGAATGCACAAAATGGCTCAAAACTCTCCAAAAGTGGATTAGGGTTTCTTGGCTAGGGTTTGGGACGATGAAAGCTGTAAATGAGGCCAGCCTGTGTAGGTCAAGGTGTTTAAATAGGATGCTAAAACCTGAAAATTAGGATTTTATTCTAGCAGCCCTACTCGTCGAGTTGAGTCCCTCAACTCGTCGAGTAGACTCTAAGTTCCGCGTCCAATTTTCATTCCCACTCGATGAGTTTGGAGCATCCAACTCGTCGAGTTCCTATACAAAAATGAATAAATTGATTTAAAACACATACCAGGAACCGGAAGTTACAAATCTCCCCCACTTATTTTAGACTTCATCCTCGAAGTCTGCTGCGCCTGGAAATAGTTCTGGGTAGTGCTCCCTCATCTCATCCTATGGGTCCCAAGTCCATTCTGAGCCCTTGCGGTGCTGCCATTGCACCTTCACTAACTCAACCATCTTGTTCTTCAGATCCTTCATCTTTCTGTCGAGGATGGCTACCAGTCGCTCAATGTAGTTTAGACTGTCATCCACCTGAATATCCTCTAGGGGCACCACTGTGGAGTCATCTACCAAGCACTTCCCCAGCTGGGATATATGAAAGGTGTTGTGGATCTGACTAAGCTCGGTTGGCAGATCCAGTCGGTACGCAACCTTTCCCAACCGGGCTATAACCCTGAACGGTCCGATGTATCTGGGGCCCAACTTTCCCTACTTCCTGAACCAGATGACACCTTTCCAAGGTGACACCTTCAGGAGGACCATATCTCCTACCTGAAACTCCAGGTCTGATCGTCGTCTGTCGGCGTAGCTCTTTTGCTGACTCTGGGCCGTCTGGAGTCCACTCCGGACCTGTTGGATCCTCTCTGTGGTCTTGAATACCACTTCGGTACTCCCCATGACCCTCTGTCCAACCTCACCCCAACATATCAGGGTTCTGCACTTCCTCCCATAAAGCATCTCAATGGGAGGACGGTCGATGCTGGCGTGGTAGCTATTATCGTAGGAAAACTATGCCAAGGGAAGGTAGGTATCCCAGCTACCACCGAAGTCTAATACGCATGTCCACAACATGTCCTCCAAGGTCTGGATGGTCCGCTCACTCTGACCATCCGTCTGTGGGTGAAAAGCCGTGCTGAAGTGCAGACGAGTACCCAACTCGTCATGGAATTTCTTCCAGAATCTGGAAGTGAACCGTACGTCTCAGTCAGAAATCACAGAAACTGGCACCCCGTGACGAGCTACTACCTCCCTGATGTAGATGTCGGCCAACTTCTCGGCCAAAATACTCTCCTGGATCGGGATGAAATGGGCACTCTTGGTCAATCGATCCATGATGACCCAAATCGAATCCACTCCCCGCGCGGTCATGTGAAGCTTCGTGATGAAATCCATAGTAATATCCTCCCATTTCCACACAGGGATATCCAACGGCTGCGTCTTGCCGTGAGGTCTCTGGTGTTCGGCCTTGACCTTCCTGCAGGTCAAGCACCTCTCGACGTACCAGGCTACATCCCACTTCA